AATTCCTTTACCATTAATGAATGGATCATTCCAACCTACAAAACTAAAGCAGTGTGACAGAGGGGGATGGAAAAAATGTAGGGAATAATAAGACCTAAATTCTAGTTTCAGTTCCATACTAATCCATGTGACCTTGGGCAAGTCACCCTCTGGGCCTCATTTTCCTCATCTCAATATGATGATTGGACGAGGTCATTTCTCAGGTCTCTTCTGATAATTATCTCATGATATAGGAATAAAGATTATAAAATAGTCACTGTTAGCTTCCTCTTAAAATGGATAAAGGCTGCAAGTTCTAACCAATAATGAGTCAAGTGAGATATATAACACCTATTCTCTTCTACAAGATAAAGCAAAGACTCTCTGAATAGGTAGCATTAAAAATCCATGTCAAAACTATGCCCCCCAAAAAAACAAAAAACTATGCTCAAGGGGCAATCAAATTGTGCATACCCTTTGATACAGCAATACCACTGGTAGATCTGTATCCCAAAGAGATCATAAAAAAGGGGAAAAGACCCACATGCACAAAAATATGTATAGCAGCTCTTTAAGTGGTGGCAAAGAATTGGAAATGGAGGGGATGCCCATCAATTGGGGAATGGCTGAACAAATTGTGGTATATGAATGTAATGGAATACTATTGTGCTATAAGAAAAGATGAGCAGGCAGACTTCAAAAAAACCTGGAAAGACTTACATGAACTGATGGAGAGTGAAGTGAGCAGAACCAGAACATTGTACACAGTAACAGCCACATTATACAATGATCAGCTGTGAATCAGTTTAGCTCTTCTCAGCAATACAATGATCCAAGATAATTCCAAAAGACTCATAATAGAAAATGCTATCCACATTCAGAGAAAAAACTATGGAATCTGAATGCAAATCAAAGGATATCATTTTCACTTTTTTTTGTTTGTTTTTCATGGCTTTTCCCTTTTGTTGTTTCTTCTTTCACAACATGGAATGGAAAAACAATATGGACATATGTTTACATGATTGCACACACATAATCTATATCAGATTGCTTGCCATCTTGGGAAGGGGAGATGGGATGGAGGGAGAAAGGAAGAAAAAATTTGGAACCCAAAATTTTTTAAAAAATGAATGCTGAAAGCTATCTGTACATGTAATTGGGAAAAAATACTATTTCCAAAGAATCCATGTCAAATTTTCCTAAAAGAGAGGTGATGATGGTCTTAGGAATTTCAGACAAGTTCACTGCAGTCCTACTTTAACAAGGCCAAAATCTCTATATTCCAGGGCAAGAGCATAAACATTAAGGTTTGAAACAGGTGAAGTACTGGAGGGGCTGACATGTTAGCTGCAGTACAAGCTATTTAAGTCTATGGTTCACTATACAATAAAGTACTGAAACCAATGACAGGTGCTGACTTCATCTAACTTATAGCAAGCTCTGAGAGAGCTCTCTGTGACCATCCTTTAGGCCAATGGCCCAAACACTGGTTAGCAGAGCCGAGATAATTATTCCTTCTGCAGTCCTGCCAAGGAGCATTTTTTTTCTTATAAGTGCACTTCACATTGTAGGTGTAGCACCATAGGAATGGTGGATGCTTCATAATCTGAAATATCCCTGTTTTTCTTTAAGCTTCTTTAAATTTCTCCCTTACTCCAGATTCTCAATTGCTAAGGAGTTACTAGTCTGCAAGGGTAGAGGGAATTCTCTGCCTTACACTGAGGAAATCATAGGTCCAGACCAAAAAACAGCAGCATATTTAACCTGGTCCTTAATTTTTTAAGCATTTTACTTGCATATCATGTGTATGTATTTATATTTCGTGATGGGTACAGGATGATTAATCTGCAATTTTGTGAACACCACTTGCTGTGCACTTGTGACATTGCTTTGATATGGGTATATCATCTTTCATTTGTCTCTCTAGGTCCACCTGCTGCCTTTTAAAAAACAAAAATAAGCCTAAAACACCAGAAGGTAAGGATTAAGCACTAACTAATAAACATATTTAATAAGATTCTTCCAAGTTGTCAGGTATTTCTTATGAAAAGTGGATTTCTGACATTTTAATCCATGAAAAATCCCTGTTTATTTAGGTGTGGAATTATTTAAAAGTTACATCAAATTGCATTTTTTAAAAAGGGAAACTACACTCATGAGGTTCTGGATTCATTTCTCTATTTTTTTTTTTTTTACAAGTGTGCTCTATTTCAAAATCCTATCTTTGTTTCTCATACTGATAAAAACCTCAGATCCTTGAGATGCTGAAGGATTAATAATTCCTCTGCGAGCTGCTTCTGACATTTTGATAAAGCAGGAGTTTAGAGCTGAAAGGGACCTCTGACCACAGTGAGTCCAACTTCCTCTTTTCTATGTCCAGACAAGTGGACAACATTCAAACACAGTTCTTCCACCTCCAAATCCTAGACTTTTCCCAACATAATGAGGCACGTCTGTGACGGCTCTAAAGATCCAATTTCAACTTCCCCTCCTTAGTAGAGGTAGGAAGGAAGTGAAGTAGAAAGTTCACTTGATAAGGAGTCAAAAGCTGGAGGTTCCACTGATGATCATAAACACTTGTGGACTAATTTGTACCTTTGGACAGGCTGTTTCCTCCTCTGTAAAATGACAGGACCAAACTCTATGATCTCCAAGGTCCTTTTCCAACCCTAACATTCTACATTCAATGCATGTATCCTGTGAATCAAAAGCTGACGGAATTCTGTTCATAGAAATCCCTGTTGCCCACAAATAAGAAGCTGTCATTACTTGATTTTTCTACCCACTTGCCCCATTGTTCATGGTCTGTTCCACAACCATGTCTTCCTAATGTAAGTAAGGTAATCACTCAGGTCACACCCCATTACAGCTAGCAGGGGCGTTAGGAGTCATACTGTAGGCCAGATCAAAGAAGCAAAGGCCAGAGAGCCAAAGTAGGAACTGAGTCAAGAACTTCTGATTTCAGATGCAGTTTTTCTTCCCACCACACCAAACTGGTTCCTTCCAGCTGGAGGGTTCTAGGAGGTTCACTGCAACAACCCTGCTGCTGTGCTTAGATCTCCAAAGGGCTCATAATAGTCAGAGAGTATGCAATGTGATGGGAACAGCCTTCAGGACAGCAGAGAAAACACAGTCTCCTGGACTCTGGAGAGCTGGGCTCAGAAGGTTATTAGCAGTGGGACCACAGACAAGTCACGCATCTCTCAATCTGTTTGTTTCCTTGTCTGTAAAACAGCGACCCTACTTGCATGATGTACCTTACCCAGCTGTTGCAAGCCAAGTGCTTTTCATACCTCTCAAAGTGCCATGCAAACTAGAGCTGCTGTTACTCTTCCAGGGTTGTTGTGAGATTCAAATTGAGAGAATGTAAAGTCTTAGCTTGGTGCCAGGCACATAGGAGGCACTTAATAAATGATTACTTCTTTCCTTACCTCTCTTCCTTCCTCCCTTCCTTTTTTCTCCCCTTCCTCTCTCTATTCCTCCTTTCCTCTCTCTATTCCTCCCTTTTTTCCTCCCTCTCTCTTTTCTTTCCTTCCTCTCGTCTTTCTCTCCCTTCTTTTTCCCTTTCTCTCCTCTCTTCCCTCCTTCTTTCTTTCCTTCCTCTCTCCCTCCCTTCTTTCCCTTTCTCCCATCCTCCCTTTCTTTCCTCTCTCCCTTTTCTTCCTCCCTTCCTCCCCCTTTCCCTTTCTCTCCTCCCTTCTTTCTTTTCTTCCTCTTATCTCTTCCATCCTTTTCTTTCCTTCCTTCCTCACTCCCTCCCTTCTTTCTCTCCCATCCTCCCTTTCTTCCTCCCCCTTTCTCTTTCTCTCCTCCCTTATTTCTTTTTCTTCCTCCCTCTCTCCCATCCTTCTTTCTTTCCTTCCTTCCTCTCTCCCTCCCTTCTTTCTCTCCCTTTCTCCCTTCCTTCCTCCCCCTTTCCCTTTCTCTCCTCTCTTCTTTTCTTCCTCCCTCTCTTCCATTCTTTTCTTTCCTTCCTTCCTCTCTCCCTTTCTCCCTTCCTTCCTCCCCCTTTCTCTTTCTCTCCTCCATCTCTTCCATCCTTTTCTTTCCTTCCTTCCGCTCCCTTCTTTCTCTCCCTGTCTCCCTTCCTTCCTCCTTTCTTTCCTTCCTCTCCCTCTCTCCTCCTTTTTCTTCCTCCCTCTCTTCCCTCCTTCTTTCTTTCCTTCCTCTCTCCCTCTCTTCTTTCTCTCCCTTTTTCTCTTCCTTCCTCCTTTCTTTCCTTCCTCCCCCTTTCTCTTTCTCGCCTCCCTTCTTTCTTTCCTTCCTCCCCCTTTCTTTCCTCCCTCCTTTCTTTCTTTTCTTCCTCCCTCTCTTCCATCGTTCTTTCTTTCCTTCCTCTCTCCCTCCTTTTCTCCCTCCCCCTTTCTTTCCTCCCTTCTTTTCCCTTTCCCTCCCTCCCTTCCTTCCTTTCTCATCTGAACACACCAAATAACTTGATCACAATCGGAGGCATTCAACAAAGGGCTGCAGCCTCGGTCCTTCAGCAGTTTCCGATCACTCAAAGCATTTAACCTCAGACTGAATACCCGGCGGTCAAGGATGCCTGCAGGGGAGGACGGAGGAGGGGAGCCGCACAGGGGTTCGCCCCCCCAAAACCTACAGCTTGGGGGAGCCGGGGAGGAGGCCAAAGCACAAGAGAAGGCAGCGGTGGGGCGTAACACGAAGCTGCGAGTCCTGGGTTCGAATGCGGACTCTTGTCATTACCCCCGGACCGAGGCCGAGCCTGCCGCGGCTTCCCCTCTTTGAATCCTCAATTTCCCCGTCTGCAAAACGAGGGGGGCGAGGAGCCTCACGGCTCTTAGCCCCGAGGCCTCGGCCCCGGCCAAGGTGCCAGGATGCAGAACTGGAAGGGCTCACGGCCGTGACCAAGCCCGAGCCCCTCGGTTTACAGAGCGGGAAACTGAGGACTGGAGACTGGAGGCCCTCGCGTCCGCGGCCCCGCCCCTTCCATCTCCTAGGTAACCGCCCCTTCCCCCCCAACGGCCCCCTCCCCACTCCGGGCCGCCGCTCCCCGCTCTCACCTGGCGCGCGAGGCCCGCGGAGGTGCGGCCCGAGCCTGCCGGCATCCCCTCCTCAGGCCACGCCGGGGGCCCTGGGGCCGGGCACGGCCCCGTGCGGGGCCCGACGGCAGCCGGGAGCTCGGCGCGCGGGGACGCGAGCTGCGGGACCGGACGGGACGGGGCGGGGCGGCAGCGGGCGAGGGCGAAGGTGAGAGCGCGAGCGCGCGCCGGGAGACGGCGGCGGCCTCGCGCGTGGCCGAGACTGCGGCCGTTTCTAAGGAACCAAGGGCTCAGGAAGGGGCGGGGGCAGCGAGGGACCGGGACCGCGCCGCGGGGAAGCGCTCCTGCGCATGCCTGGTCCGCGGGAGGCGGGGCGGGCCCGCCCCTACGTCGCTCAGCTCTTAAAGGGCCCGTACTCGCCCTCCGTGGCCACTCAGTACGGTTACGCGGCGCTGGCTCTTTTGCTCCCTTTCCCCTGCTGGCGCCGGTGAAAAGAGCACCCCAGGCGTAGTCCGGGAGGCTAGGGTGGGGCGGAACTCTAGAGTTGCCGGGGAAACCGCTGATGGCCGGAGCCCGGAGACCTGCGGCTGCCGCGGGAGAGGCTACTACTGCCCATCCTCCGGCCGCCGAGCTTCGTCGGCGGGCTCGGCCCCTGCGCTGGCGGCTGTGCGAGGGCGCCCCCTGGCGGCCCGCAGTGGCTCTCCCGTCTCCCTGACCAGCAGGGATGCGTTGGTGCTGAAGCTGGTGCCTGGATCCTTTCTTTCCCTCGGGGCCAGGCTGGGCCAGGTGAGGGATGGGGGAGAGGGGCGGGGGGAGCGGGGGCAGCTGAGCCTCCCACCTGGGCTGAGCAGTCTGTGTGTGCTCGGAAGATAGAGGCAGGACTGGAATCAGATAAGAGCCAAGTTAAAATCTGGTCTCAGATCCTGGGGAACGCACTTGGCCTCTACCTGCCTCAGTTTCCTCTCTTATAAAATGGAAGTTTTACTCCTTTCTGCAATGAGTTCAGTGCCTGGTTCACAATATTTCTCTCCTCCCCATCTCCTGCCCTCATTTTAGGGGAACAAAACAATATATATTAAAAATCCCCTAGCCTCCAACTTCTCGACTTTAATACATTCTAGACACCCAATTCCTCTACTTCCTCATTTCCCATGCCCTACTCTCCCACCTCATCAAAACTGCATGCAGGGATGGTCAAAGTATTACACATCCACATGCATGAACTCTGAAATTCTCTTATTTGATCATAATCTATTATCCTTGCATCTCTGGAAGCTTTAATTGTACTTTACTCTTGATGGAGTTAAGCGCTGCCTCCAGAGATGAGCAAACTATCCTGCTGATAAACCTCGTGGAGTTCTTGGGTTTTGTTTTTTTTTTTTTAATTATTTAGTAGCTTCTGAATTTCCCCATCACTTTCATCAAACCAATCCTGATTTTTTTTAGTGTTCTTGCCCACATAAGCAAATGGGGTGCTGCATACCACATCCCTGAAACCTGCCCACTGCTGCTCTGCTCCACCGTTGCCAGCCATGTGTTGGCTCAGATTTCCCTCCAAGTCAGCAACAAACTTCATGCATGGAGTAGCTCTTGAAGAAGTGCTCTAATCTACTGATGTCTAGTGTTCTGATAATCCTCTTGCCTTGGGGCTGCCGCTTTTGTTGAACAGGAATGTTTAGTTTGGAGAGAAGTCTATGATCCGTTCAGCTCTCTGCACCACACATTGCCTTTGTCACTCACATCCTGTCTGTCTCTTCTCCTTAAAATGATGTAGTCTACTAGATGCCAATTTTTACCTCGAGGATGCATCCAAAAGGTTTTATTGTGTTTAGGTAAATGGATGAGATCAGGAGACACACAAGTCTTCAGTATTAAGTAACCCTTGCTGTAGCTGTTTCTGACTCCATTTAATTCCATTTCCAAGGACTCTCTGCCGTGTGTCATAATCTGTACCTACTGTGTCATTAAAGACACCCATTCTTGTAAAGAATTAGAAGCTTGTCCTTTTTAGGCACATTGATGAAGAGGGTCTCCAGGTCTTTATAAAAATTTTCTTTGACCTGATCAAGGTTCACCATGGTGGGAGCATATGCACTGATGATGGTGATGGTGTGGTGCTTTCTACAAGTGACAATCACATTGTCATGAGTCTGTCATTCACTCGTTTTGGGAGGCATACAAGCTTGTTGACTGATTAGATTTGATTGTGAAACCCACAACATCTTCATGGTGCTCCCCTTCACTTCAGCCACTCAAAAAACAAAACAACAACAACAACAACAAAAACATGTATACAGCTCCAACTTTGGTAAGCTGGCATTCATTTCTCAGTCTTGTTTCATTCAGGGCTGCTATTTGGATGTGATTCCTGCCGAGTTCTTTCACAACCAAAGCTGTGAGAGGTCTCTCAGGTCTACTGGATTTTGTGTTGTCCATTAGCATATGCAAATTCCATGTACCCATAGTTTGTGTGTGTGTGTGTGTGTGTGTGTGTGTGTGTGTGTGTGTGTATTTTAACCACAGGATAAGATCCCTGCCTGCTGTGGTAAGCAAGTCAGGGTTGGGTAAGGAGACAATTTAAATGGCACCTTTTCTAGCCCCTTCCTTACACCAGAAAATGAGCAGTATAGTACCTAAAAAGGCTGCTCAGACACCTAGGGCCAAATCCCACTGCTGCTTCAGTCCAGTGAGAAGATGACCCTGTGGCCTGGGCCTCCTGTGTACAGGGTTGTGACTACAGCTCCCAGTCTATCCTCACCTGCTGCTTCATCACCAGCTGGTTGCCACAGGACTTCAGGGTAGGTAAAATGGTAAAATTATAACACAGTAAAATGATAAAATAATAAAATAATGATAGTTGCATAATAAAATGACAAAATAATGAAAAAATAAAATGGTATGGGTGATGTCTTTTGACTCGTGTAAATTGTATTTAAGTGAAGCATAGTTACAGGAAGTCGTCAGCCTCACCATCTCTCCCAGAATCATAAGAATCCAGTGGCAAGACAGAAGTCAAGACAAGTGGTGATAGCTTGGGATATGGTGGATGACCTTGGCATCTTCCATGTCTGACCAAGCTCTAAGTGCTCCATAGCATCTGCTTCTCTGCCTTCATTATTCATATCTGCCCATTCTGTCATGGAAAGTAATCACATGCTTAGGGTAGACACCTCCTCAATTCACTGATAAGTTTGAGCCCTGTTGGTTTCCTTCAACCTGGTTTAACCCATCTGCCAAGATGGTTTTACTGAGGTGTGGCTGTTGCACATGCTGTATGTAGCTTCTTGAGTTGGTGCCAGGTGGAAACCAGTGGTGGATGACAGGCCCTAAAAAGGGCTCAGGAGCCCTCACACAAAGATACAAGTCCTCCCTGAACATTCTATACAGTCAGTAAGAAGGCAGATGAGATTCAATTTTAAGTTGATAGTAATAATCCAAAGAGCTCTACAATGCCCTGCAGGCTATTTATGGGCCAAAGACCTTTGGCGCATCTCAGTTACTCAGCACTAATGGAGCCACACTGATCAGTGATAACTGCATGATCCTGGAAAGATGGGCTGAACACTTTCAGAGTGTTCTCAACAGACTGTCATCAATCAATGTTGAAGCCATTGATTGTCTACCTCAGGTTGAAGTCAATCCCTCTTAATCAAACTTCCAAGTGATGAAGTTTTGAATGCCGTTAGACTCCTCTCATGTGGCAAAGTGCCTGATGCTGATTCTATTCTAACTGAGATTTACAAGGCAGAGGGTCCACTGCTCATACTAAAGCTGACTGAAATCTTGGGGTTATATGACAAGAGGAGGTTATCCCCCAGGAGTTCAAGGATGCCCCCATTGTCCATCTCTATAAAGGAAAACATTATATATGTATACACATACATACACACACACACACACACACACACACACACACATCTTTAAGTTCATGGACCCCAGGTTAAGAAACCCTTCCTAGAGCTGTATTTTGCCTTTTTTTGGCTCCTTTTCTTCCAGTTCTTGAATTCTTTCTATACTTTGAGCTAGAGTAAGAAAATTCACTTCAATTTCCATGCTGCTTCTAATCCATGTAAATTATCTTGGGAGCTTCTATTAGCAAGACTGAATGTGGTAGAGTTGATGATTTTTGTCTTTCTTTCCCCTTAGCATTGAGCTTAGCTTCCTAAACCACCAATCTTGCTTCCAAACTGGCCTCTGCTGCCATTAGCAAGTGGACCAATCCCTTTGGAGAAAGGGCCTACCTTCCTCAACAGCACTGACACTAACCCCTGACCAAACGCAACCAATAAGAAGATAAACCCAAGAGCACTAGGAATGGCAACATCCCCAGGGTCACTTAGCCCAACCTCCACAACCATTAATTATCCCAGGGAGCAATACTTTGTGAAATTGAAACCTGGTAACTTCTTCTGCTGATACTATAACCACAGCTACTGAAGACCCACCAAAGTCCTTGGCACTGTCAACTCATTGATGTGATTTTGTCACCAGAAATGACGTAACATCTACTTTGCTGCTTTACCCTAAGAACCAATGGACATTTCCATCCGATTTGCAGCTGGAACCTCTCATATGTTATCTTGACCCATTAGCATCTAAATTCCTTGAGAGGAGGGACTATCTGACTTTTCGTTTATATCCCCAGGACTTAGCGCAGTGCTTTATATGTATTAAGTGCTTAAGAAATGTTCATTCATTCATTCATGACTTCCTAGACCAGGAAGAAGCATGGCAGAATGATGGTGGTACTATTGACAGAAATGTGGTTGTTGGGAAGGTTTTGAAGGGATGATGAATTCATCTGTGAACTCATCTATGATGATGGCCCTTTACAACATGGTAAGCTTTATTGTGTCCAAAGGAGGTTGACAAGGACAGTGAAGGGCTTTGAGGTCATACTATATGAGGATTGGTTGAAGGAACTGGGGATGATTAGCCTAGAGAAGACTTAGGGAGATCAGGACAGTTATCTTCAAATATCTGAATCACTGTAATGTTGAGGAGTAATCATTAAATCAACAAACATTTATTAAGCACCAAAGTAAAAGTCCCTGCCCTCAAGGAGCTTAC